GAAGTTGATTGGTTTACCGAAATGTAGACTTGTGGATTTGTTATTGACCAAATTGCAATTTGTCCAAATTTAGGACGATTGGCAGGTTGTCAGAATTCTGCAAATCTGAAGTTCCATATGGATGTCTGACAGAACAAACGGATCACACAATGGCCAGGGATATTTGTTTGTTTCGTGATTCATAGTTCTGTCCGTGGTACCAAAAAAATATTATTGACAGCCACTAAATGTTGATTTTAGCTACAGATCAAGTGTGAAGTGACCAACAGTGGGAAAATCTAGTAAAATATATAAATCTGTATTTACTAAACATATAACTTAAAGTTCTCTTGTCTGCAGCCTTTGCAAGCCCTCCTCTTCTAATCCTGCCCAGACTTTCTCTGGCTGTCCAATCACAGACTTCCCAAGGCAGCTCAATGAGAAGTCTTTGCAAGGCAGATGCTCTGGGCAATTGCTGCCTCTTGAGTTTAGTTCCACTGAGCTAACCAAACCAGGAAATAACAGAACCGGCTGTCTAATTGGCAGCTGTGGGGTGTAACAACTTTAATTGATAAAAGAGCCAATTGATTTTGAAATCTGCACTTTTTGTAAAATGAAAAAAGAGGACACACTCTTAACACATAAAGCACTTTAGTAAGAGGTCTGGAGTGTGCCTTTAATAGTGATTGCATCACCAAGAGGTTGGGTCCAAAATTTTTGCGTAGTAGAAACAAATATGAAAGGCAGCAACAACAAATCCCATAACAGGAGTGGCACAAATAAATCCTTAATACGAGATTTCGAAATAGCCTTTATTGTTGTATTAAAAAACTGGTGATAATGGAGGGAGCACAGAATGGGAGGACCAAAAAACTCCTCCCACCTTAAAAACACAAAACAAAAATATACCTAACTATCATACAGCATTTCTTTAATCAGAATTTTTATTCTCATATATTGCATGCATACCAGCTAAAAGCTGTTTGTTTTTTCACGTCATTGAATTTCAGGATATAATGTTAATGGTTAAGCTAAATGACTGGGTGTGGAACGCAGACAAATAATGGAATTAAAATAAGCTCAGCAGTTAGAAGATTTAGGAAGGTGTGTAGCCATAGAATTTTCTGTGGACAATAGCAGCGTATATGACACTAAACCCAGCAATCTTAGATTGGAGATCATTTAACAGAAACTCGATACTGCTCTATAGGGAAATTATGTTGACAATGACACACATTCACGGTATTAGCATGAATATTGTATACTTTATACATGCATATATAACCTACATCATTCGATTCATTCCACAGTTCCTGAGGTTTGTCAGGGAAAAAGAACTACAGCATATTAACCTTGACATGGAAGCGTCTGCCTGCAGCCAAAATAGCGCGTCCACCGAGCAGCCAGAACTTAATTCCATAATACATCCCCAATAGCATTCATTCAGAGTTCATCTGCATGAACAATGCAAACTGACTGATGGTATTCACAGGCTTCTACAGCTAACCCGGTTATTATCTGGTCAATATTTTTAAAAAGCATCTATAAACCACACATTCAGCATAACAATGTATCCAGTCCCTTTTTTTTGTATGTATGTATGCATGCATACCGCACTGCAAATTAATTTAAGTGTTGTGTCTCGAATGCTTGGTAGGACATGTAAAATAATAAATAAAAAAAGTAGTGGGATGTTTTGTTTTTTTAAATATATTATTTTCATTTTTATTTATTAGCAATTTTTACTTATCTGTTCGGTATGCAACAATCTCAGAAGTGAAAATTCTGATTTAAAAAGGAATGGTCCAACATCAAAATTGCTAAATGTACATATGTTTGCAAAAAACATAAATAAATACTAAAAGCAAAAAAAAAAATGAATTTTTACAATATTAAGGTTTTGATCTTGTTTGTACCTTGTATGTACAACTTGATCCTGTCTTCATATGTGGGGTAAGTGATTATGTACTAGAAGAGGCAACACATCTCAGTACACTAAAATGTAATTAATTACGTAAAATAATAAAACACAAACTAATGTCTGAAATAGTAAAAATAAATAAATGACTTAATCGATAGTGTTATTAATTGCTACAGCAATTAACACAGTGATTCATCTAGTATTCTCCATAAATATATTATACTTGATTACCCTGTTTTTTCTAAACACGTTTTAAACACTAGCCCCTTAAGGACACAACTTCATAAGTAATAGACCAGCATGACGGACATTGTCCGTCAAGGCCTTGGGGAGATAGCGCAGCTAAGCGGACAAGGGCACATGTAGGAGTGTGGGGATAGATGCATGGGATTGGTTGGGAAAGAGTGGGTGGGTGGGATTATGTTCTGTGTAAATTAGTGTGGTGGAGGTCTTACCTCAGTGCCACTTGGGATTCGGGCCAGCAAACAGCTTCCCTCCCGCCCGCCCTATTAGTATATTTAGTCACAGCTAGCTGGGGGTATGTCCTTGCCAATTGAGTTTGAGGGGTTACGTTTAAGTATATGGAATGAGATGAACAAGTTTTTAAGGTCTCAACCTCCCCTGCTTCAAACGGTTAACATTAGGTTGCCTGAGGGGTCGTGCCCATCGAGCGTGGATAAGGTCGGCTGATGGCGGGCATTGGAAAGATATGATTTTTATGACGAGGAGGGAGGTGAGAGGAAGTGGTGATTAGGAACCACTGTATGTTTATTGGCAAGGACGGTTGGGTGACTATATAACACTATGTGTGGAGTTATATATGTATATATGTTATTTTATGCTTATTTATGTCTAACGTTTTTGGTTACAGAAAAAGAAGAGATTTAATAAATAACGTTATGGATGTGTTATGCAGTAATTTAGTTTGTGATAAATGCTGTGGCCTGTTCATCCATACTAAGTGGTCTGTCGTTATTGGGGGGTTGAATGGGGTTAGTTTTTGTTCTAGGCTGCATCGCGATTCCCCACTGCGTACATACATGTGTCCTTAAAGCAATGGTTTCCAAACCAGTCCTCAAGTCACGCCTACCAGTCCAGGATTTAGGGATTAGCCAGTTGTATCAAGGTTTCTTTTTTTTTGTGCTTTTTTTTCTAAAAACACTTTGACACAACTGGGTAATCCCTAAATGCTCGACTGGTAGCCATGCCTTGAAGACTGGTTTGCGAACCATTGCATTAAAGGGTTAATACTGTGAGGTGTTAAAATTAAATACAGTAGTGGGATTAATGGGAATTACACCCCCAGGCAGCAACTGCTAGAACTCAAAACTGTGTATTAGGGAAAAAAATATTCATCACTATGCATCCTCTGTAAATTGTAAACACATATATATTCAAAAATACTCATTTTATATACTTCTGTATAGTAAGACCAATCTGGTAGACATTGTATCGCCAAATAAGACATCTCACATATTGGGAGGTTTGCTGGGCCAAAGCAAAGTTAGGAAAAGAGTAAACAAGTCGTCGTGTTAGTAAGGTGTTTATAATCTTAGGAGATGGTGAATCTTTACATACTACCAGGACATTCCTGCACAGTGGGTGGATTCATCCCTTAGCCTGTTTATACTAATTCATATTTTCATCAGTAAGATGATAATTGGGGTGTTATAAGGAATGACCAATATTACAGGATGGAGACTGTGAACTCAGTTTGTGGTGAATCAAATTAAAGAGGACATTGGCAGGCTACTGGATTACAGCCTTGCAATTAGTATACATATTGGTAAGTACATTTTAAAGGAACTCTATAGGCACCCGGGCCACTTCAGGTCAATAAAGTGGTCTGCGTGCCATGTTCCACTAGTTTTAACCCTGCAAGTGAAAGTGACATCTGCAGGATTGACACCACAGCCACTGACAGCTGCTACAGGAGGGTTCGACAAAATAGCAAAGTAAAACTCTCCAATTTCAATCTGATGGTCTCATACAAACCATTTAAATTGTCACAACCTGCTGTTTTGCCACGCATGCACAAGAGCCTCTCAATGCTTTCTTATGGGTAAGTATTGGATTGGCTGGGATCATGGACAGAGCAACATTGAGTTGGACAAAAGGTGAGTTAACTACTTTTAAACACTTGCAGCTGTGGCCCATCACCTAAATGGTGATTAGAACAATATAGCTTTAGGAATATACCCGTTTGTATTTGTAATGCTATAGTGTTCCTTTAAAGAGGAATTATCACTTTCTCTTTTATTCACCCCAGTTGATGCTTTTGTAGCATTTATTGGGGTGAATTGAGCAGTAGTAGGTTAAAACATACTTACCTCTACTGTGCTTCCACGTTT